GTCGGATAATTTAACTACTTCCTTACCTATTCGCGATCACTGATTTAATTTGCGTGTTCACTTAACCTTGGAAAGTCATCGAAAAATTCTCATTGAGCATCAGATTCAAAACACTATTTCAAACAGTGGAGCTTTTGTCTTTTACGGATGCCACAAATCTGAGAGTTTTATAGATACAATTAAAAGTCAGGAAGTAAAGGGAATTTTGCAATTTATTTTTCCAAGGTTTGGCAAAAGCTGAAATGAGAGGTAGTCGGCATCACTTTTATACTCGTCTCCAGTCATTCGTCTTCTCTTGAAGTCTTTGTCCTACAACAAACCGTTAAACATGGCAGCTCCGTCGTCGATATTCACCAAATAAGAAAATAATGACAGTGATTTGCTTTTCTTTAAGGAAGATGTGAAACAAGTGGACATTAACTGTCGCTTGAAAAGCAGTAAGGCAACATCTGCTTATCACGAAGCAAGATCTATGAATGAATATGGCCCTTCAAACAGGTTCTTTATGTTACGATGAAAGATCCTACACTGCATCGAACTCAATCACAGATGGTCATCGCCAATGAGGGTACAGAAATGAAAGGGATGGCTACACTATCCAGGTCAGGTATCACTCCTTCCTTAAACAAAAAGTGAATCACTGCCCTACTTTTCTCTTTGATGCAGAAAGACCTTGAGGATGCCCTGTTGAACAGTCTCCAACCCTCAATGGCAACGAGAAATTATGAGTGACTCTTTGTATAGAAGTGTTGCCCGCCACCCCTCTTTCGGCACTGGATAATTGTGCTGTTGCCAAATTATGGAAGTAGAAATTGCAAAATGCGTTTTACTTTTTGACTTTTCCTCGTATACAAAATAAATGATTTTTTTGTTATTTAGATATTAGTTGATCCTTCGTGACCCGCTTGTAATAATAGTATTATATTAAGTAATTATGTTGATTATTTACGTTATTTGTTATTTTCCAGTTTTTCGAAACACATCAGCTACTAGTATTGTAAGGTCATGTCCCAGTCGTCATCTCTCGAGCGCAGTGAGCCCATACTTTTGGAAAGAGGGAAAAGTGTTAATCTTTTACATAAAAACAGTGTAGAACCTAGGAATCTCCTGTTTTGAACATGTTGCAGTGATGTTCGTAGGGAGGTGCTCGGTGTGTTGAAATTTGTGCTCCCGCCCGTCTTACTGTCAAACGTGTTGTGCTCCAGGCAGCACTGATTTTTTCCCGTGGAGTCGTATTTCTCTAACAATCGATTGGTGTTTGCAGTGCAACGTGGTTTTCGTCTTCATTTCAATATTTCTACATGAGGTCGTGTTTATAATCCGAAATGAGTTTTAATGTGGGTACATGATTTCCAAGCAACGGGAATGTCTCATTAGAAAGGAAAGGTCCTTCGAAAACAGTTATAACACCTGAAAAAGTGGAACGAGTTTCTGTGTCAATTCAGACCGCTTGTAATAACTTCCCCTGCAAAACTAAAGGTGAAAGAGGATTGGAAGGAACACTAGACACGTTTGAACAAAATAACCTAATTTATTTACAATATTAATTACCACACTAATAAAATTAATCCAGACTAAGAGAGGCCCTCAAATAATCACTAAGCCAACAAAAAATGAGGTAAGCGAGATATGTGAAAACAGATATAGTAACAACGCTTACTCAAGGCGATCACTTTGACTTCTTATGAATTTAATCTGAATTTAATCTCAATGACACTTCGTCACCTTAAGTATCTCAATTATAAAATATTCAATATTCACGATTCACCTTCAATTTGATAAATCTCTGCTCCGAAGTACGCTTGATATATTAGAGAAGTGAAACATGAGGCGTTCCTCCATCCCGTATCGAAATGTATACGGGCCTTGAAGTGGAGAGGCCTGGGTTGAAAGAGAGCTTCCTGATTGGTGGACTGGAAGGAGCAAGGGGGTGTGGAGACTGCTTCAGAGAGGTCCGATGTAATGGAATTTTTTTTTGAGAAAGCGGACGAGAGACTCGTCTGTGATTGGTCTAAGAGTCAGTGAGATTAACACTGTATTGGCTGCTTTAAAGTTATGAAACAAAAATTGGTTAGAAAAAAAGTGATTGCTTGTGAGGGTTGCAGATTGAAAATATAACTTAATATGAAGAGAGGAGACAATGAAAAAAATTAAATGAAAATTTTGAAAATGGTCATTCGCCACGAGGGGAATGACGCAATCAATTACTAGGGATGTCATGCGAGTCCAGAAGGATTCTTCTGGGCCTCTTAGTATTGACATTGGGACTGTAAGATTCAAGATTTAAGATTCTCTGCTCCGATAGAACGGACTAGTTCATCTTTCTCTAACCTGAAAACCTAGACAATATATAGTAATCATAATTAGCATAATGTTCTCTTTTTCAAAGCGGGTGTTATAATAAAATAAATTTAAACACCAGAAATTTTCCAAGAGGATTATTAGTAGTAGGAGCTAAGATAAAACCGTCATAAGTTATGTGACAATGATCTAATAGTTCCTCTTACTCGTTCTCAAAGAATATTTTCTTGGAGTCAGTTTAGGGTTACGTGTGGCATTGTCCTGACAACTTGTTGTTGTTACAAAATGGAGCCACAGCCAAGACCTTCAGGATTTCCATGGGTATTTAAAGAGCAGCATTTCCGGAATGACTGATCTTTTTGCAAGAGGGGTAAACTGGCTTACGCGCTCACTTGATTTATCCACTCCTGATTACTTCCTGTGGGTTAATCTCAAGTTCCAGTTTTACAAGACCTTGGAAGATCTTCGGAACAATATCCGAGTCGATATGCTTGAAATGGTGACTCAAAGTTTTTGAAATTGGCTGCATCTATGTTTTGATAACTGGAAAAGACATTTAATAGATATTGTGTTTAAAACTGTGTACATTCAATGTTCCAATTTCATGTGGGAGGCAGAAAATGGCAAAATCAAACAAAACTTGTAACTTTTTTTTGCGTTTTTAAAATAGAAAGTTCTTGCACGTCACCATGTATATGCTAGCACGATATTTTGTCACTTGATTTACAGTTTGAAACATTTAGTGGAGAAATATAAGTTAAGAGTTAACACCCTGTGGCATATTCGAAAAAGTTAGAGAATAGTATGTTATTAATTTCGTTTTTATTAATGCTGTACTTTCATGAAATTGGGATTAATAGTCGTGATTGGTAGGAGCCGCGAGTTTGTTAAAAAGAAAAATGTTCACAAAATTCTTCTTATATAGAGACACCTATTTGTAGGGATTGTATACGAAAGGAGAACATAGGATGAAAAACAACGAGTTAAAAGTTTACATGTTAAATAAAAATGTTTGTTATGTATTTTCTCAAGTCTTAAAACTAAGCAACAAACTTCATTACACATATTATGCAAAAAAAATAGAAACCAGTTATTATACAATTTTTTGTCCCAATAATCTTAACGGGATACATGATAATTCGCAAAACAAGCAATTAACCAACAAAAATATCCTGCTACATAATGTTTTATCATATTCTGAATTTTTTTTCGCCTTTCTTGCATTTTGTTTCTAATCCTCGCTTCTAACATTGGAAGCAGAAGTACAAAAAAAATTGATAAAGGTAGATTAAGATTTGGATTATTTATCAAACGAGAGATTAAATAACAAGATTAATTCCCCAAATTAAGTAGCATTACAAGATAAATTTGGTCTGTGCCATTTTTATCGCTTATGTCATAAATCCCCATCCATTATTTGAGTATAGTTAAATAAGTTACATCATATATATATATATATATTTAATTATAAGCAAATATATTATACGTTTATAAGTTAAAAATAAAATTTAATCAATTTTTTTCCCGTTAGTTAGGCTTTCTTTCTTAGTTTCTTGTAATGCTGTCAGTTAGGTTTTCATGCTAATAATTTAAAAATATTTTCAATTTTATACCTGTTCCTCGTTTGTTTTTTACAGTAATTAACAGTGTGTTATTACATGTTTTATTTTGCTTAGTATGTATATTTGGGCTTAATTATAACTTACTTTAGATTATGTTCTTTCATTTTTTGTAAAATTGAATTTCTTTCTGTTGTATGTGCAATTTTTGTAGAATGTATATATTTATAATTTATAATTTACAATTACTCACGATTACAAAGTAAATTTACAATTCTAATACAATTTTTGTAGCATGTTCGATTCTTTAACAATATGGTACATGATCATGGTAAGGATTTAAGTATTGTGGTCGGAAGAATCATTTACATACGCCACGAAAGATTACGCTTCCAAAAACAATATGTGATTATTAGTGTCATTGAGAAAATTAATGCTAAATGTCATTATGTATCCAAATTCGGCGAGAAAATTAGAAACAACTGGAAAATTTCATAGTGGCTAGAATCCTTCTTTGATTATATACTTTTGGGTGGCTTCTAGAGATTATTCCCAGCCTATATAACTACGATGCTGGAAAGCAAAATTGGAGCCATATTTTCATTATATAACCAATCTATCAATTATAATTCAGGGTTATTCTTAGTTTCTAAGAACATAATTTCTTGGATAAAGCTAAAAATGATTCTACGAATCAGTTTAGAAATATAAATTGTTTCGCTTTTTTAACTATATGACATAAAGAACCGTTCATAAGTTTTTGTTTTAATTTAAAATTTTTCGTACTAATAATTGAGAAATACGAATGAAATTATTAAACAAAAAGTCAAATAATTGTATGATTTGATCTTATTTTTAAATATGAGAGCTAAGTAAATGCTATTTTTCAATTCCTACTATTAAATCTCTCTCTCTCTCTCTCTATACATATATTGTTCAAATTGTCAATAAAATAAAATATTTTCTATTCATTCATTCAAGTTCAAATACATCTTTTAAAACTTTTAGTTGATGACACTAGATGCTAATACATTTTTTTCAAATATTAATTCATTAATTAAATTTTAAAAAAATGAATAAATAGTAACAAACAAAAATAATAGTCCAACAGCATATATAAAAAGGAAAACTGTTTGCTGTGTTCCTGTAGCGCAATGAACAGTGCGTTAGATCTCTAATCTGAAATTGTGGGTTCTAATCCCACCTGGTATGGCCTAATTTCTGAGAATGGTGTTTCTTTTTACCCTAAACTATTTTATAAGAATAATTAATTTTAATTAATGAATAAATTGTAACAAAAGAAAAAAATAGTCCACCACCATATATAGAAAGAAAAATCGCTTTTATATTTTGTCATTTAATATTGTGATTATGTGTCATATGTTATATATATATATATATATATATATATTTATATATATATATATATATATTATATATGTATATATATATGTATATATACATATTTATATTAAATGTAAATATTTAATAAAAAAAGCAACTAAAATGAAATTTTTCCTTGTTGACCTAAGTAGGAACTGACTTAAACATCTTTTTTTAAATTTTATATTACTTGTTTATGACAGTAATTTTCAAAGAGCTTAGTAAGAAAAGCCATAGTTAAAGAATAAAAAGAACTAATACTACAATTGGAGGGGGAATAATTATACTACATTTTGTGAAATATTCCAATTTTTTTTCTTCCTGAGACATATAACAACTAAAACACATACACACGCCAACATTTCTTTTTACAAGCAATTTTTAGTCATTTAAATTATGTGTTTACATATTATTAATTTTGTTGCATAGGTGCCAATTAGAAAAACACAAACATGTTAGTTTAATGACAAAACGCCTTTAAATAGCTTACTTAAAAAAACAAAAGGAGTTTAAAACTATATTTTCATTTCTGAAACCTCTTATTTCGTATTCTTTACTTTTCATTTTCTGATATTTTAAGAAAATTTAAGATAAATAAATGTTTTGATAAGATGGCTTAAGCTAAACGTACTTTTTGGGAACTCAATTTCCCCCTGGCATATCGAAGTTTAACGAAACTTAATAATAACATTGAAAACAAAACTACTCGTATTATTCGAGACATAAATAACACATTTAATGTATATAATAAGTCAACATCAACACAAAATTTTGATAATCCGAATTTTAATATTGCATTTTAATCACTCCTTAGTTTAATGTATATCTAATTTAATGCATATTAACTTATACACAGTGAAATACATTTAACGCAAAAACACTAAAGGCGAAATGCCGGTTAACATGAAATAAAATAAAATTTCCAACAAACTACTATATATTGCCATGCATTGGAAGAATTCGTTGCCGTAGATGAAGATAATGTGTGTGCAGCCCTAATTACGGCAGGCAAAGAAACTTTGGAGTTTGTTCACTGCTCAAAAACTATCATTGATGCAGATTTCGATGACGATAATGAAATATATAACAGCTCCAGTCCCCATGCCATCTGTAATGAGGAACATCTTGAAAGGTATGAGCAGTTACTTAGATGAACATTCTCTTGATGAAATGAATAACAATATGGACGACATCGAAAACATTGTTTAAAATTTGACGTTACAAAAAGATAATGCAAAGAAAAATAACAGATTATTTTGCAAGAACATAATAAATGCTTTGGTTTTCAAAAAACTGGTAAATTTTGTATCAAATTCCATGATGTTGTTGCGAATATTTATTTTTTTGATTTATGTAAAATACAACATATACATATCTGTGTAAATAAAATATGCTCTAATAAACTTAATTTTGTTGAATATATGTTCCTTTTTTTACAATAACATTTCACACGAAATTCTTTTAACCCGTTTAGGACAGTGGTTACAAATATGTGATCACGCCTTTCTTCCTCCAGAGCCCATGGTATCAAATATGTGATTAAACGTTTTCTGTTCTGACACCCATGTATATATATACCCATGATCATACCGGTGTAATTTGAGTTTGGAACGTTTTTAAACACAATTTTTTCAAAGCACAAGATGACGATTAAAGCCCGTTCTTTTTTTCGAGTAATGTTTCCAAAAACTTTGAACTTCAATGTGTGCTTTCGGCTTCGAGTTTTTTTAAATTAGATCCTGGATATTTATGAAAGTAAAGAACTGCACATGTTTAATTTTTCGAGAGAATCCGGCATTTAAAGGTTCGTGATTTATTGCGCACTCAAATTTAGTTTATATTTTGACAAAATTAATATATATATATACTATTAGTTAATTTGGCATCAGACATTCATAAAGAGTGTTTTTTTTACTAAAATTGTAATGAAGGACTACTCCTACTTCCATCTAAACCACGCTTGTTTTCTCTCGGGCCCGGCTGGATGTGTGGGAGGAACTAATTGATCAGACGACATGATTCACTAAAACCGTTTATTTGCCACAATATTCAACGCAGACACAATAATAATCTAATTAAGATAGTTCTGATTAATAATTAGAGCGTGAAGGTGAGAACAGCTAGCATGGGGATAACATTTACGGGCATCCAACTAATTCCTACAATAACTTATACAAGCTCGTTGACGCGCAATAACAATTTACTCTCTAACCTCTATTTAAATAATGAACACAATACCTGAACTCTTGTAATTCAAAAGTCCTATAACTGAGACCTTAAACATTAAACGTTGGCTTGATCACCTCGCATCCGAGCGATCCTCACTTAGGTAATCCAATTCTCACTTTAATAATCTTAGATTCTCACTTCAGTAACTCCCAAAACTCACGAATACAGAATTTATATAATAAACTTAATTTGCATAATCACATTTTCTTACCTTCTGTGAAAGTTGGTTGAAATACTTATTTCACTTAAAGAATCCCCAAGGAGTTAGTAAAGACGCGTATAGAAATAAATGAAAATAAAAATATTTTCTTTAAAATTCGCACTTGTGAATTTAAAAAAAAAAATGTAGCGAAAATTTTTGTACTGTGTATTCAGATATTATCAATGATAGTAAATTGTAAAGGTTAGCATATTTGATTACATTAAAGATTTTATATGAATTTGAAAATTAATAAGGCTTAGCAGTGAAATTCGCCTGGTCCCATGCGTGGGTATACGCTCCGAAAGTGTGGACCTGGGGAAAAAAGGTTAACACGAAGACAAATTTCAGGCCCCTCAGTTTCGTATTAAGCGATTTTCCCTGCATATGCATAGTTAGATAAATTATTACTTTATAAAAACACGAAATGTGTTTTTTTTTATTCTGATGTACTAAATATCCTCCCACATATATTGGAAAATTTCGGAATTTTTTCACCTCTGAAATTTCTATACATTGAATAATGTAATCATTAGTTCCAATTATTCCATTAAGATTAACGTGGTTTAGTGAGAAAATTGGGCTTGATGGTGAACTTGTGGACATCAGTGTTTCTGCAAAGTCCTGGGGTAAAGACACCCTGGTATACCGACTCTGGTAGCTTTAACCATGTGGCTATGGTCACGAAATCGTCCCCGGTGAGTCATGAGCTCAAGCCCTATAACCACTTAAAACCTGACAAGTAAAATAGCTGATGCACTTGAAATTCGTCGAAGCTCAAAGTCCTACCATTTGTGGGATGTGGTAATTTGGAGAGAGAGTTGCCACTGCTCAGTTATTTTACTTATCACTTGATCGAAAATCGAAAATACGAGGTTCGTTACCAAAAGCCCACATGTTGCTTTCTAATCCTACGTTAATAAACGCTCATTCATTCACTCGAATTATTCCTACCTCTCATGTAATTTAATGAGCAAATTGGACATGGTGTTAAGCTTATGGCCGTCATTGTTCATTCCTCGGGCTCAGGTGTCTATCCACGCACCTATGGGCTCAGGTGTCTTCCTCGTCCTTCGTCTGTGGTTAAACATTTTTCAAGGTTTGTTGCCATTAAACTTTCTCTACCTTCCAATTGTGAATGATCAATCAATCAAACACTAGTTATACTTATTTTCTTCGATTATCAATTATTGTATTGAACATTATATTACATAAAATCAGTAATTAATGTTTTTTTTTTATAAAGGTATTAAAGTGTGAAGCTAATAATAAAGAAAAATCAAATGCGATTTGAATAGATATTTCTTAGTGTGTGCTTAGATGAATGTGAAACCATATAGGCACCACACGAAATATTTTTTTACGGTCTAAACCTACAACTCATTTCAAATCAAATATGACAGTAATTTATCGAACGAGGTATTTTATGGCTCTGGAGGGGATTGTCTACTTCTAATCCTGCGCTGTTGATATCCACCCCTTATCTTTAATTCAAAAACCCGAAACTTTCTTTTCAGCATCTTCTCCCGGGCTATTTGTGTCGAAAATGGGTCGTTTCGAGAGGAAATATCATCCCGCCAAGCAAAGAAGATAAGAAATTCCGTTTCCAAGGCAACCATACTTCATATTTTTGTCCATTTTCCACTCGGACTTCAGAAGTACCGCCTTCGGCTATATGCGTATTACTTAACCATAAATCTAGCATCTCACCGAACTATTGAGATTTCCGATCTAAGGACTGAATGCATATCATTCCCATTCCTACCGTAGGTTTTTTTTTTCTATTTTCCTTTACTTTCTTATTACATCCGGGGATATATTTTATTCTTGTTCGGGCAAACTTAGGGGAATGCGATCGTGTATTAACTGCGAAACCATCCGAGATTTAGTTCTGCAAATACTCGAGCTAGGTGGAAGTTGGCACGCAAAAATATTTCAGAATCTTTTTTCGTCCGACAGTTGTATTTTCACAGTCGTTATATCTCAAACTAATGACCGAACGCCATTTTTAAAGGATTTAAGAAACTGCAATATTCTAGGTGATATTTTAGAATACTGCTACTCAAGGAAAATGTTCCTTTGAGGATTTTCTCAGGGTTGCCATTTTTTGGGGGGGGGGGATAAATGTAAGCTGTGATCGATTTTGAGTCAAAATAACTCATACAATGATAAATAGAATGGAAATAAAAAAATATTTGGAAAAGAAAGGTAGAAACTGTTTGTTATCCAGAATACAATTCCATCGAATTGTAATAGATGATAAGAAAAAGTTTTCAGCCATTGCTTAAATTCTATTGTAGTAATTTTGTGGAGGTTTTATGCTTGCACGCTAAGTGAAAATTTTGTGAGAAAGACTCTTTAAAAAATACCGTAGTTCAATATAAAAGAAAGAAACTGTATT